CGGACCTTAAACTACGGTTACCCCCCCCCCCCCCCCCCCATACTGCTTTATACAGGGAAAATTTCTTTCCCTTCCATTTAGAAAACCATGTTTATGAGACAGGACCTTCTTATATCGCTTAAGCTATGTGGATAACTAAAGATAAAACAATCCGGCTGTTTGTAATGTGGACTTGACTAATCTGTAGGTACAACATTTTAAGCACTTCTCAATTCTATACTTTTGTCAGCTGACATTCTTGATCAAAGTTTCATAAAATAGTTTCTCATTTTTTTCATATTCTATAGCAGGTCACTGAAACATTCTATGGGGAGTTCCTATTTTTCTGGATGATGGAATCTGCCATGAGTCTGATTTCTTCAAAGCATTTGCTCAGTGCAGAAAGCAGAACCATTACATTATGAGGTAGCAAAGGAAGAAAAATCCACTGTGAAAGTCATTTGGTACCTAGATCCCATTCCATCACATGATTAAGTCCTCTTGGCTACCCCCGGCAGTTTGGACTGACGACAGTGGTAAGTGATTCTTCCTCTAAGGAGCTGGTTTTATCACATCTCCTTGTATATCACCTCGGTTTAAAAAGCTGATCTTGAATCTTTGTGCAATGAGAATCCCCTCGTGCCAAGTTCGTTTAAGATTGCCAGTAAGCTATACTAATAATGGTCCTCAGTTTCTTGCTGAAGAGCCATATATATTAAAGTTAAAAGTTGCATATGTATCAGTTCTGATTTGAGAATGAATGACATATAGGCACTTGAAATGGAAACAGAAGCAGATGGTCTCTTTCCAAAGAGCTCTCTATGCTCAGCTATCCCACCATAATATCATGTTTGGTGAATTCAAATCATATGCACCGACACTGTAATCAATTTTGACCAATTATAGTAAGATACTTGCCTTACTCCGAATGCTCGAAGAATAGTTTTGGGACTTGAGAAATCTTCTCAGAATCATATTATCAAGCTCAAGACCATTTGGTATGGCAAAGCTACTTCTTAGAAAATTATCCAACGATATAGGAATATTTCGATCAAATCTCCATTAGTTTGACCTCTTCTTATCAAATAGTAGATAGTCTTATATATTTCGTGTAAGTTGGAAAACTTAACTATGTGACTCAACTTCCAGATAGACTTTGTTGGAATAAAGCGCGCTCCACCTTAAGAGACAACTCAAGGACTTGTTTAATCTTTTAAATTACAACAACAACAACATCCCAGTAAAATCCCACTCAGTGGGGGTCTGGGGAAGGTAAAGTGTACGCAAACCTTACCCCTACCCCGGAGGGGGTAGAGAGGCTGTTTCCGGGAGACTCTCGGCTCAGATACAATAGATCTGTGACAACAAAACCCGAAAAAATAATATCAGCAACGTGAGAGACAACAAATAGATGGAAAAGCAGTACCACAAATATTATACAAAAGTGTGAAAATTAAATTATTTTTTCTATTATGCTGACACATCGAAAGGAGGAAAGAGCGACTGTGAAAATTAAAGTCACACCTAGTCGGTGGAAGACTCTGATTAATTAAGGTTTTTCATTTCTAAACTTAATTTTAATAGGGCGAAGATGGTAGTTTTCATCGGCGTTTTTCATCATTAATTAAAATTCACTCGTTGATTTATTGTGTTTAGTAGTTGTTGCTTCTGCTGCACAATTAGGCTAAAATTTTGAGACAAACCTTTAAATATAGGCATAGGGGACGAATTCTAAATCTTTACTGGGCTTAAATAGTTTGAGAAAAAAATAAAAATAGATAATGTTAAGATAAAATTAGCATCCGTATGTTATGGAAAAACCCCCGACAATGCTTGAACAGAAGCATATAGGTAAATAACAAAATACCCCGTGTAATTCAACAAGTGGGCTTTGATGATGATAGTGTGTATGCACATCTTATCCCATCTTGAAAAATAAAGATGTTGTTTTCAATAAACCCTCGGGCATGAACATATAAAAAAGTAGATAGGTAAAAAGTTTTTGGGTGTCTATATTTATATAGTGAAACCCTACACCTATAGCTCTTAAAATAGTACTTCCTCCGTTTCAATTTATGTGAACATGTTTGACTGGGCACGAAGTTTAAGAAAAAATGAAGACTTTTGGAATTTGTGGTCTTAAACAAGTTAAAAAGGAGCCCAGAGTATTTGTGTGGTTATAAAAGCTTCTCATTAAGGATGGAATTGCAAGTTTAAGCTAAATTGTTACCAAATTTAGAAATGACTCATTCTTTTTGGAACGGACCAAAAAAGGAAATAGGTTCACATAAACTGAACATAGGGAGTATATTGTCTTAAACTTCACATTCTTTTATCAGGTTAGTAAGAAGTTCCGCTATGAATACAAAAAATAATAATTTACTATTCGCATAATTGTCTGCTCATTTAAGTTGTATATCTCCTTTCAAAGAAAATCTTGGGCATGAGTTTTTTATAAATTTTTTTCAAAGGGGCATAATCAATAGTGGAGATACACTACTATCCAAAACTTGGACATAGTTTTTGGGGAGATAGGTAGATGTCTAGACAGATGCATCCATAAAGAAAAAGAGAAGTCCAATCTAGCTCTTTCTGTTATTGAATAAACAATATGTTTCGTTCTATAATAAATGTTATATAGAAGAAAAAATAAGTCAATCAATCTTGGAGAAAAGAGGCAAAGCACTAATTTCACAAAGAAGCGTATATTCCATAAATCAAATGGCTATCCAAAACGGTAGCTAGACGTGCAAGCAATTCGTTCTTGTAAGAGTTCACTCTGCTAGTTAATTTAATATTTTGTATTAATCATATAAATTAATGAATCCTAATCTTCTCTTTGTCGTGTATGCTATTTTTAAAATATAATAGTGTCAAAAGGCATCCATGACAAGAGAACCATCAACTACATTGTGGGCAACCACTTGTAGGATCAATGATCAAGGAGGGGAGGGATTTATTTTATTTTAAATAGGACTTATACCGTGCTATAAATAAAGTGGTAGAAACTATCTTTTAGCATAAAACATTAAAAGCCAAAAGTTCCAAAAAAAAAAAAAAAAAAATCCATAGAGGGAATTGTGTTTGACAAAATGGAGAACTCAAGAAGACATCAACTTGTAAATGCCATAGCATTTTGCTTGGTTGCCACAAGTGTTGTTGCAGCCTATACACCTTATGGTGATTCTCCACAGCAAACTATGAATCAAGAGAAACCTTATTCCCCAGGATCTGAATATAAGGTACCATCAGTTCAACAAGACACATCTAGCAAGGTTCCGTCAGTGTCGAAAGACTATTATAAGGTGCCATCAGTTCCAGAAAGCACTTATACTAACGTGCCATCAGTATCAAAAGAGTATTACAAGGCACCATCAGTTCCAGAAGCTAAATACACTAAAGTACCATCAGTTCCAGAAAGTACTTATTCTAAGGTGCCATCACCATCAAAAGAGTATTATAAGGCACCATCAGTTCCAGAAACTGCATACACTAAAGTACCATCAGTTCCAGAAAGTACTTATTCTAAGGTGCCATCAGCTCCAAAAGGTACTTATACTAAGGTGCCATCAGTTCCAGAAACTACATACACTAAAGTACCATCAGTTCCAGAAAGTAGTTATTCTAAGGTGCCATCAGCTCCAAAAGGTACTTATACTAAGGTGCCATCAGTTCAAGAAACTACATACACTAAAGTACCATCAGTTCCAGAAAGTATTTATTCTAAGGTGCCATCAGCTCCAAAAGGTACTTATACTAAGGTGCCATCAGTTCAAGAAACTACATACACTAAAGTACCATCAGTTCCAGAAAGTAGTTATTCTAAGGTTCCATCACCATCAAAAGAGTATTACAAGGTACCATCAGTTCCAAAAACTACATACACTAAGGAACCATCAGTTCCAGAAAGTACTTATTCTATGGTGCCATCACCATCAAAAGAGTATTACAAAGCGCCATCAGCTCCAAAAGATACTTATAGTAAGGTGCCATCAGTCTCAAAAAACTACTACAACATACCTTCAATGCCATATGTACCAAAAGATAATTACAATCATGTGCCTCAAGTCCCAGAAAATGTTCCCAAAAATACTTACGAAGTACCTTCTATGCAAAAGAATTACTATAAGGTACCTTCAGGTCCTCAAAATGTTTACAACAATGTTCCATCAGTACCCAAAGATTACAACAAGGTACCTTTAGTGTCAAAAGACAACTATGGATCTAAGGTGACACTGCCAAAACCTTACTTCAAGTTGCCAGCAGTTGCCTCATACCGTTATCGAAATTCGCCTAAGTATCCTAACCAAGAACATCCTAGTTACAACTCTTTTCCATCATCGAAGAACACAGAGAATTACCAATCTCCACCACCACCTTACTACTAAAGACCTCACGTATTTTTTTGTGTTCGGCCATTTTTAGCAAAGTATATGAAGGACATATTCATTGTCAATTTGGGATTCTGATGAAGGCCAAGTCAACAGAAGTACGAACTGCGAAGATTCATCATTATTTTTTTCTATATTTAACGATTGTGATTGTGATCAACAAGGAGATACTTCCTATTTTGGGTTTTCTTTTTTATGTTGTTTTTTGTTGTGATGTACTTCCTATTTGTAACAAGAGAGTGTTTTTCATTTTTTTTTTTGTTTCACGCCTGAGATAAATATATCATGAATTGCAATAATTTTTTTCATTAGTCCAAAATTGTTGGCAATATCTCAAAATACTTTCGACAAATGATTTCATGCATGGAAGATTATGAATTGGCTAAGGGAATTAGCCAAATGACTCCTGCACGGGAGGTTATTGATTAATGACTTTTAACCTATGACACGTGTCATGATTAGAGACCATTTTACATATATAAATAGCTAGTTATAACTGCATCATTTTCAATCATAAGCAATCATAAACCTACTTCGTTAACTCTCTCTCTTGCCCCAATTTTTCTTTCTATGATCATTTACTTCAACGTACTCTTAAATGCTCCTTCTCTTAGGGTGTGTTTGGTACGAAGCGGAAAATGTTTTTAAGTTTTTTCATGTTTGGTTGGTTTAAATGTTGTGGAAAATATTTTTCTTATGAACTCATTTTCTTCCAATTGGAGGAAAATGTTTTCATTACTAAGAGAAGAGAAAACATTTTCCAAAACTCCTTCAAAACCTTCCCTACCCACACCAACCTACTGTCACACCCCTTTTCAACACCCGAAAAGATAAATGTATGTTATGGATTGTGGGTGGATAAAGAGTTTTTCCAATTAAAGTGACAAACTTGAATAGGGATTATTTTATTTACAGAGTCGCCACTTGGAATTGATTTTTTGGGTGTTCCAAGTCATCTTTTTATTAGAATCCCTAGTCAAAGAAAGGTTTGACTCTATTATTATTGGTCCGTGAAAACAAAGTTCGGGTAAGGAATTCTGTTGACCGGGGAGAAGGTATAAGGCATTTCCCGAGTCCCGTGGTTCTTGCACGGTCGCTTTATTGACTTAAAACTTGGCTTGAACTAATTTTGGACAAACTGTGATTTATATGATTTTCATGTTTTACCTATCCGCTTTTATCTCTTGATTATTAGAAAAATTAAAGAATATTTTGGATAATAAGATATCATAACCACACTACGCAAGCGAAAGCATGATCGACGAAACTTATTATTTAGTCATAACAGCGCTACGTAAGCGAATCCGCAGTCATGACAAACGATTGTTAGCACGTTATTTACTTTTGAAAAAATTGCTACAATTGTGCTTTGAGGAAAAATTAATCTCTTTTTTTTTTTTTTGGAAAATTTATTAAATGTCACAACCACGCTATGCAAGCGAATCCGCGATTATGACAAAAGATTTATAAATTAATTAAAACTATTGAATATGGTAAGAAATTGATGAATTAACTAATTAAATGTTAAGCATCACACTACACAAGTGAGTCCGTGAAGTTAAAGCGCACCTACTATTCGCCTAGCGTTTAAATTAATTAAAAGGAAACGAGTTAATTTAATTAGTAGAAAAATCTGATATTATTATTATTTTCTAGCTTTATAGTTGGGAAAAATTATGCAAATAAATGTTGGACCAACTTTATCTATTTTAAAGAAATGAGCCAACTTCTTGTTAAAAGGAAAAATGGGCCAGCTTGTATAGAGCTTTTGGACTGCTGGAATTTATTATAAGAAAATGGGCCAGCTAGTATATTTATTAACTTGGCTTATGATGTTCACCTTATGTGGCCTAAATTTATTATTTTGAACTCTAATAACCAAATGGCCAACTGAAGCTAGCAAATAATAGTTCATTTTACATTGTAACAATTTATATAAAAATATCCTTTGAATTTTAATACGCTAAATCGTGCTGATAGAGAGACTGTCATATTAATCAAAAAAAAAAAATTTAAATCAGCGTCATGCTCAATCAAGAAGAGAAGTACATTGGTAGTCTTACACTCAATTTTAGAACAAATGGCTAAAATAAATTACATGTGAAAATAACCTCTTTTATTGCAAAAAACGAAGAACCTATATTAACTATATTCATTCAACCTTAACTAAAATCATTTGTAAATGTCTAAACAAGACTACTACTATAGATGAGACCACTTAGCTTTAAAATAAAACCATAAGTATGACCAAACAGTGGTCAATGAATAAAAAAGGGTTTAGTTGGGCAACAAACAGAGGGACAAACATGAAACTGCATGGTTCAAAATATAATACATGCTCATTTCACACAACCACACAACTGAGGGATACTCCCTTCACACAACCACACAACTGAGGGCCAAGCAGAATTATATCCTAAACTTTGGCATAATACTAAAGATGCTTGGCACAGTTTAATTAACTAACACACAGTCATAACATTATCCAATATTCAAAAGTATGTAATAATGAAGCTACTAATATTTTCAGGCACCATTGCTTTCATTCCAACTTGATTTTAAGGAGTTTACATGGCCTGAAAGTTACCTGGACAGCAGAAAGAAGAAAAAATTCAGAGAAATCAACTCTTTCTAGATTACAGCAGAACAAGCAGCAACACAGCAGAAGACAACCAACAAACAACAGCAAAAACAGCAGAAAACCGGCAGCAAATTCGTGTTTGAACAGCCCGAAAACTTAGAGAAGAAACCCGGAACCAAACTTTAAAGAAGACTTATACTTTTCTAAAAGTTTGCACTCTAAGATTCACTCCAAAAGCTCACAATTTCAGCTTATTTTTCATGTGTTCAACTGCTGAATTTTTTAATATTTTTGTGTGTTTAAGCAATTCTAAAAATCTCTATGGAAGTGTGATGGAGTCTCCCTTTAAATGAGGAAAGGGCAGGCCTTAAATAGGCAAAGAAAAGCCAACTTTTTGGACAGATTTTGGTTCACCAAAAATCTGTCCAAAAAGGGACTGACTTTGTATGCTAATGGCTGTCTAAAAGGTGAAAGGACAGCCTGAAATCTGCTACAGCAGGAGCCAAGGTCATTTCAGCCACCCTAGTACTAAAATAAGTTGCTAGTGTACCCCTAAATACATGATTGAACTAACTAATCTTCAACTTTTAACCAAATAACAGTACCCCCCTATGTTTTCAAACCAAAACATAAACAACCATATAACTAGACTGAAGTGTTCAGCCAAACAGACAAACATCAGTTGCTAAGTAGCAACTAGATTAACAATACTTCAGCACAGTTCAGAAAGTAATCAGAAACCAAACGACCCATTTGAAAATATAAACTCATTACAACAATGGTAACAACCTAACGAGGAATTTGGTTGAACCGATCAGAACGTCAAACTAACTAGACTCGTAGTAACTAAGACAAACAGATAATCGAGATCAAACAAACAACAATTAACCGATATTAACTAAAACTTTAAACAACGAGAATCGATTCGAACTAGTGTTCTGTTGAAACTAAACTAGAACAACTATCCTAATTTAACTAAATTAAAAGCATGAATAACATGATTAGGAAAAAGCATAGACATAGAACACAAATTAAAACAAAAACCTAATCGCTAAAGAAAACAGAAACTACAACTAACAGATTTTAACTTAAATAAGAAACTACAATCAAATATATTAAAACAACAAATGAGAAACATAGAGGAGAAGATTAGTGTTTTACCTAAATGCTTAGGCTTCGAACCAGTAGTACAACACAACTAGGCGGCGAATCGACCTCCACACCTCTTTTTCTCAATGACAAATGCCGAAAAGCACAAACTCCGGCGAACCAGGTTGAGTTCGGCACTGTGTCAAAGAGAAAAAGAGATTAAGGGGGTCGTTTTTAATGCACAGAAGAAGAGTTCCGGGGTTGATTGGGTGGTGAAGCAGTGGCGATGTCGCGACTGTGGGGGTGCTCGGCCGGCGGCGGTGTGGTTTTTTGGGGTAAAACTCGAGGGAAAGTGTAGATCTCCTGGAGATCTACATGTTTATGTGAAGTTTGTGTGGTGGGGTGGTCGGATTTGCCGTGAAATCAAAGAGCGAAGTAAGAGGTGGCTATCTAGCGTTTCGATTTCACGAAATTTAGAGGGGTTTTGGAGGATTTGGGGCTCGGATTAGGAGAGAGGGTAAAGAGAGGAAGAGATTGGTGTAGGTTTTATGGGCTTTGGACGTTGGCCGCCGCCGGTGACGAATTTCGGCGGGCGACGCTGGGCGGCGACGGGCGGAGCTGCTGGGAGGAGAAATAAAAGAGAGAGGAAGAAGAAAAATGAAGAGACAATAAGGGAAATGGGGGCAAACTTTTGGCCAAACTAGGCTTTAAATACCTAGGGTGGGAGATTAATCAGGGCCATTGGATCAAGTGATGATGAGTGACTAAGATTAAATCTTGCTTCGTTTATCAAAACAACGTCGTTTTGGACGTCTCTCAGACCACAAGGTCTGGACCGGGTTTGGGCTGCGATTTTATCCAATTTTGGGCCAATTTTGTTTTTTTAAATGAAAAGCCCAGTCCCTTAACCCCTTAACAAATTAAAAAGTCTAATTCTAAAATCTACAAACACACACAAAAATAATTATTCAAAATTATAATGTAAAAGAAAGAACAAAAATTAGGCATTTATAGCTGCCCCTCTTTGCTCGAGAACATGAAGAGTTTTCGTGCAAAGATAGTGAATGCCATGACTAACTTTTGCTCACCTATGACTCTAATGAAAGTATTTTTGAAAAAGGTGACAGAACCTTGCTTCCGAGGTTGCCTACATATCCTTGGCTATAAAGGAATCATGTCGGTGTAGTTCTGAGAAAATTTGGTAGCTGGGACTACCAGACACTGGAGTTAAGACTGCTGCTGCTGCTGCTATTGTTGTTACTCTTACTGTTACTGTTACTCGCTTCTTATGTCAAAATAAAAAAGAGGAGAGCACTACATATGACTG